GCCCCGGGATTTTATAGAATTTAGGCAGTTCCACTCCACAATCGTTCTCGTAAGGGTCTTGTGCAACTAGTGCATATTGCCAACGTAATAATTGAATACCGAATTGTTCAAAGCGTGGGGAGGCGGTGCCCATCCACAAGGCCGGCGAACCCAAACACCGAATTGATAGCTATCGCCCGGTGTGGTCGCGAAGGTCGTGGATAAAATGCTACTAAGTAGACTTTTTCGTCTGGAGAAGGGTATGAGACTCATCTTCTTCTCCAGACGTATTTCGACGAGGTCTGAATACGACATTTTAGCTTATCCGGGTTGTTCACGGGGTTATGGAGTCCTTTCATCAAAGAAAAAACACAGTTATGATCCTGCTGTACAGCAGGATCCTTCGGTAAGTTTGGACGAGAGGGTTTGTCGCCAAAATGTTGTTTGCAGTCATGCCTCTATTCTTGAATCCTACCTGTGTATCCGAACTTTTCGTGTAAGAGTGGAACAAACCATATCTACATATTATCCAATCAAGGAAGGCGTCCCGCAGGCGACTTGCTCATCACCGCACTTGTACTTTCTGTATACGCACCATTTTCCCATGTTTTTGCGAATGAACGTGGGTTTTTATGCCGATAATATTTCATTCGTGCATTCTTTCTCGAGCTAGGTGACTGAGTAGCAACTGCAGATTCACCTCGACAGACTAGTCGTGCCGTATTTTGACAAGAAAAAGAAAGAGAATAACCCCACTGAAACCGAACTGGTTAACATTTCGAAAAAAATTACGAATATAAAAAGTTTCAGAAGGTTATGAGTTAAGGACAACAGCGTTGTTGAGCAGAGGAACGCGCGATACTTGTGAGTGATCCTAGGTAGGTGCCTGAACTTTCAGGAACACTTGAGTTTGGCGACTCAACGAGTGGCTGCGGCGGTCCTGTATTCTGCAGTCTCAAGGTAACTCCTCTGTTGAGACTTAAAATGATGTGAAATAAGGTGCTGCGTATTTGCACAAACAGTGACAGATACGTTTTATTGGGGAATCTGTTAGATCTGTTGTTTCAGGATAGTTAAATGTAGTTGACGAGAATTGTCATTGAGTTGTCAACTGAACACATATGACACAAAGTGGAGTAATATACCAATCCTGTACTCTTTGCCTCATGAGTACCTGTCAAAAACAATTCATTGATTATTGAAAAGGTGCTCTTTTGTCAAATTCAGGGATACCTCTGCATTTGATTAATTCATATCAAATCAAGGTTATTCACTTACTAGAAGATTCAATTGTTAACGTCAATAGCTAACAAATGTTTTCAGTGTTGAAGATTACGCTTCATCACTAACGAATTACTCAGTTAAGTTGTTGGTATTGAAGTTATGTGTTGATATTTAGGTAACTGAAGGAATAATTCGTTGTGTGCCAATCAAAGATTCAAAAACGATTAGGTCGTATTCAACGAATTTTGTTGAAAACATAGCAATATATGTAATAATTAACAAGGTATGCTTGTTAAATCAGTTATTGCACATTAAAAAAGCTTTCCTCAGTGCAAGAGCACTGACCTGACACCATCACCGACTGATTAATTCAATATTTAACATACCTGTTTGATGAAACTGGAATTTTACTTATTCTCATAATGAGAGCTTTTTGTAATATGTTGTAAAATTTCGTCAAAAATAATCAGTTGAAAATTTTTGGTAGTTATTTATCAATATGAACTTTTGGATTTCGAAATGAATATGGGAATTTGCCGATGGTTTTTTGTTTGAAATGCATCATTCCGTTTTGGTTTCATTCATCTTCCATTATTTTGTTAGAGTTTCAGTAAGGAATAGAAAATACGAAATTACTGCTTTACAATTCATAGAAACCTTCGTCGAATATAATCACAAAAAAGGATGATTAGTATAATTCTACAAATCACTCGCAATTTTATTGAAACCCATGATAGAAAAGGGACTGTACGGCATTGAAACTGGAAAGTTAACCCTGATTTTTTTGTCGTATGCAACAGTGAAAGCAATATCAATTTCCTTTTTTTTTCAGAAGGGCTTATTTTTACATAAGATGTTTACGAAATTTATTCGATTTATAATAAACTACAAAGTTCACCTTCTGGAACATGTATAAAGAGAAAAGTATTCACCGATGTCCAAATACTTATTTCATCGATTTTCAACCGCACACTCGTAAAAAAACGTAATGTAGGTTCCGATCTGAAGACCAAACAAGTTCATTCGTTTGTGAATTACGTCAATGTTTTGAAACTGCACGTTTAAGGTTGGCCAATGAAGCGAAATATTTAATTGAACTTTCTACGTTTGAATTTTTTCACTCATTATATAATAAAACCTCAGTGGGTTGATTGTGGTGATTCATTTTGCTCAGTCAGGTTTATCATATTTGATAAATGGGTGATTGGTAGATTTGTAGCATATTCCAAGTGAAAAAATGTGAATGGAGATATCGCTTTGAATAAATATCAATGGATCCATGAAACTGATTCAATTCTAAAGAAACATTCTATGCTTCTTATTTTATGAAAGAATGAACAGAAAGAAGAGTTCATAAAAACCTGGGATTCTCTTGGGTGCTAAGTAATCGGTTTTGTCGAAATGGAAATAGAAATTAAAGCTTTTTTACTCAAACATGAATAATAAAAAAATGATTTTCTTCTATGCATCTTTCTCCTCGAATGTTATTGTTAACTGAAAAATGTTTTATAAGTATCAGGAATCAAATGTTTAAGAGTTAAGTTTCTTTTATTTCCGTAGCTCATGGCAGTTGTAGATCAAAGAATAAATCAGAGAATAAGTGATGTAAAGAAGGAACCAAGAAAGAAGCAAAAGAGCCCTCAGAGAAGTGAAATTATACAACCGTTCGCACCAATAAAGATGATCGTTAGAAATATTATAAGAATCTATCGATAGTTTTGAAGATGTAAAAATGTAGTTAGAGAATATCTTCGATTTAATGAAAATCTTGCCATAGTCACTGAGGGGAATTTAAGATGATGATCGAAAGTGCAATACCTTTTCATCTTAATGAGAAGAATTTATAATAAGCGTTTCAGGTTTGGTTAGTAGAGATACATACAAACGAGATTTTAGATATGAATTCTAAATGATGTGTGATTCTATTTGGAAGGAAAGTTACAAGGTCGAAACTAGCGATCTGATCATAAAAATTAATGACACTATTTTATCGGTTGTAGATCAGGTTAAAAATCTAGGAGTTTTTATCGATGATGAACTCAAATTCAAAAAACATACTTCAACTTCGATTCAAAGAGCATTTGAGGAAATGAAAGTATTATACCCTCAAAGACATGTCTTGAGCCTAAAAACCGAATTACTCATTTGCGATTCGTTGATATTATCTATTTTCAACCATTGTGACGTAGTGTATCATTATTTTCTGAATAAAAATGAACAACAACGAATTCAAAATAGTTCAAAACTCTACTTTGAGATTTTCGTACGGTATCAAGAAAAGAGAACCGATTTTTCATACACTCAAAAAAGCCAGGTGGCTGAAAATGTACGATAGGCGGACTCTTCATTTTTCGACATCATTTCATAAAGTTATTGTCGATAGAACACCTCCCTACTTCTATAACAAAATTACTTATCGAACTGATGTTCATAATGTGAACATCAGGCGCCAAATGATCCATGTTGTTAGACACTCCATTGAACTATTCAAAAGGTCATTTACATATACAATAGCTGAATTCTATAACAACCTACCATCTTCCAGTTTCAGGTACTGCCTGAAAGAACACCTTCTGAAAATACAATAATACCCGAATATCTTCTATGACACATTGGCTCTTGTAGGCCATAGCTAAAATATTCGTTGTATTCTTATGTTTGTATCGATATCCGCCTCAACTCCCCTCTTTATTCGAATTGAATGTTGTACCCGCTGTCACAATTACAATTTTAGGTTTCTGTTTTTTTTTTGTTTTTCATCTTTCTCATCTTTTTTTTGTAAGGTGCAAGAGAAAGAATGAACTCTATTCAATCTTGTATCCTATTGATAAATTTGTATTTTGTTTTCCTCCATATTGTATCATGTTACTTCTGCTGTCAATAAGTTCATTTATTATTATTATTATTATAATCAATTTCACACAATATATTTCCTTCTCTTGATAATTTCGACGACTCTTCTGATTAGGCCAATCCAATAAAATAGGGGTCAATGCTGTATTAGTTCAATAGTGTCGTTGGAATGCCTTATCCGTCAGTTCTGTTTTGAAAATATCTTATTCTGAATGAAAGAATAAAAGTAGAATACTGTTTCGTTTCGGTAACCAAGTTAGCATCATCAGAAGTTGAAAAAGACTTTTCATTTCCTGACAGGAATGACTCATTTATTTTCAGACCGATATATTAAGTTCCTTATTTACCTAAATTAACATAAACTGAATGGAAACTCAATCATCAATATAATCATTGACTCTCCACAGTTCGAATATGTAGAAAAAGTATTATTTCGTGTTAGAATACATGATTGACACGTCTGTTCCGCCATTGGAAATTTCTCAGTCACCAGTGCAGTCGTCGCAGTCCATTCATTTAGTAAGTGAACCATAGTATTAATCATTTAGTAAGTGAAACACGTTATTAATCTAATTAATATTTATTACAATTTTCTCATCTTGTTATGTACAGATTCAAAAGTTCGTCTTTCATATACTCTTACTTTTTTTTATATTGCCAATGTACTTCGCCCGTAGGAATTCATCTCTCACTCCCTTCTGAGAAAGTGTATAATTATTACGTTTTCCTATTTGTAACGAAAATAATGAGCTATTTGGAATTTCATCTCTCCAGGAGCCAGGTAGTACATTATGCGTTTCTGCCTCCTCTGTATCTATTAATCCTTGATGCACATAATTTCCCCTCAATTTTTTTTCTGACAATAAATAGTTATGTAGTGCGCATGATGTTTGTACAACTCGTATAACTATATCTGGAGCAAACGCAATAGGTTTACGCAAAACTCAAAATTTATTGGCCATAATTCCAAATACATTTTCAATTATACGTCGAGCTCTTGATAATCTATAATTAATAATACGATTAGGAGCTGGTTGATTTTGAAAAGGATATGGTTTCAAAATATAAGGTTTCATAGGGAAAGCATCGTCAGCGACGAAACAGAATAGAACAGGTTTATCTCTACCGGGAAGAGGGGATGGAACGAGTAATTCAATACTTCCATCTTCGAGACCATGACTCAAAGAACAGTTTTGGAATACTTCTCCATCAGAAATTCTTCCGTTACAACCAATATCAAAGTATATTAAATTATAATTTGCGTCAGCAACGGCCAATAGTACAATACTATAAGTACCCTTGTAATTAAAGTAATGACTGCCAGAGTTATGTGGATTTTGTATAGAAACATGTTTTCCATCAACCGCTCCTACACAGTGAGGAAAATTCCATCGGGAGTCGAATGAGTTAGCTGTACTCAACCATTCATTTTTTGTGTTCGGAAACTGAAACAAAAATGAAATAATGTTCAGGTTTTCAATTATTGTGCTTTATTTCAGTTTGAATCACAATTTATTGAAGATGAAAATGATGGTGTGACAAAAAATAATAACGTAAGAAGTAATAAGAAACAGAATAAACGAAAGCGTGACCTAAATGAGATCGATGACCAACTATTTCGTTCTGCCATCCAAACTCTTCAAAAGCCACCAGATGAAGATGAGTCTTTCGGGCAATATGTTGCCATGGAATTGAGAAGAATAAAAAGTCACTTTTACAAAAGAAAACTCAAAAGTGAAATTATAAAAGTTGTTGCTCGTATCGTGGATGAATATGATATGCAAGTATTTTCATCCACAGCCTCATCTTTATCTACACCACTGCTATCTCCGGCTTACACTGAAATATTTTCACCAAATCAAGATAGTTCTTCATGTGCAGATTTATTACATACTTTTACGGAATTGTGAATAAGAATTTTTCGAAAAAACTTTCTGAATTAAACATGCGTTAACTTTTAATAACCTACTTTCAAATAAGGCTCCTTCAAAATTTCGTAGATAGCCAATGTTACTTCTTTCACAATCGTGCCAATTGTACAGACTGGAATTCGAAATAAGTATTGAAGACTGCTGTAAGAATCGCCTACAAATGAATTGTGTTTATATTTTATTTTTCCCAAGAATCGATGTCTCAGTACTTACCTGATGCCAGAAATCGGAGAGTGACCATAATACGTCCATATACAGGTATTGCTAAGCGCATTGTTGTATCTTGTTTAATAATTTTAGGCCCAACTGAATTTATTATGAATTGTACTTCAACTGCACTCATGCGTACAAAATTTCGAAGTTGCTGGGCATCTTCAATCTGGAGCTCGGCTGTTAATGTTGAAGAGGCCCCGTAACTAGTTCTACGTTGAATCCAAGACTTAACCTAGCACTTTTTTTTCACTTTCGCAGTTTCTTTCTTCTTTTTATAAATAATAATTAGAGCTGCAAGTTTTTCTCTGTTCATCCTGAGAGGATCTCGTACAAGTTCATCAAGTACTAGGGGACACGACTCTGAGAGTACATTCGCGAGAACTAGCAGACGACTGCTCTCAATCCATCTATTGTGGAAAATATGGTTCAGATGGTCACGCACAATCAAACTAAAATGAGGAGGAGCGCCATCATGCATAATTTGTATATCTCTTCGGGTTTGCAATGGAACATGTTCCAAAAGTCCATTCAAATCGTTCTGAATGAACTCCAAATAACGTTCTCCATTCAATCGGTCCTGTAGAACTTGAATCCAAGACTTAACCTAGCACTTTTTTTTCACTTTCGCAGTTTCTTTCTTCTTTTTATAAATAATAATTAGAACTGCAAGTTTTTCTTTGTTCATTCTGAGAGGATCTCGCACAAGTTCATCAAGTACTAGTGGACACGACTCTGAGAGTACATTCGCGAGAACTAGCAGACAACTGCTCTCAAGGTGCTGTCTGATAGTAAAAATTCCTTCGAGTGCTCTGAAATGGACAAACACCTGAGAGCTGATATCGCGAGTTACTCTCAGAAAAAGTCTCCCGTGGATACGTAGCTTAACGATTTGTTTTATTTATTGCTGATTGTTCGATTTTCATTGCTCAAAAATAACAAAGTTTCATCAGCTGATCTTGTCCAGCCGGACTGATGCGACCATCGTTTAATGAAACGCGTCTTGAATTAATTTTTTAGTGTGAAAATTGTATAATTATTATCATAAGTAATGGGTAAGTGTATAAATGAATGAACATTTATCTGAAAAAGTTTTTTGATCGAGTGGGATTCCTGAATATTATTTTACGGAATATTTTTAGCTGAATGCGTCGATTGAAGGAAATTCAATTTAATTAATGGCACATAGATGTTAATTCTATGACTGTTATTTTTATCGCTGTCCATTTTAACGCAGATTGTAAGAAGCGTTTTATCTCTGTGAAACTCTGTTTTACAGACCTAGTCTTCAATTTTTATCACTTTTTTATCATTTTATAACTTAGAAGGTTATAATCAAAATAAAAACTTCAAGGAGGAAGATATGCTGATTTGATATCTCCGGGGACGTTGAACTCTAGTTATATACAGGCTGATTCACAGTGGATGGTACATTGGACGTTACTAGTGAATCAGACATCGGTTCAATTTAAAACATTTTCTACCCAACTGAAATATTTTGGACATGCAGTATTGCCACTTCCATTAGAAAGTAGTAGTAACTTTGATTTTCCAAATGGAACACCCTGTATATAATATCATTTTTGAAATTTACAACAATTAATCGACAATTTTTCTTGATATTTCGCCATACCTATCTGTTACCGTTTTCGAAATATGAATTATCTTTAATTTTTTTTTTCGGAAATCATGACCTCAAAAAATGCTGATATCTCTGAGTTAAGGAATACCATGGGAACAAAATTTGGTTTGGAACTGTGTGATACTAGGAGGCTCCCCTCACTTCAGCATAATCTGCGTTACTTCAATACAGGGTGGTAAAAATAAAGTTTTTTCGTTTGCTTGAAAAAGTTTCCGAAAGTTAATTATTTCAAATGAAATACCCTGTGTATTAGTACAAATTTGAAAAGCTGTTGAAATTTGCTTTCTCTTTATGTATAGGTATCATATGTTTACCTAACTAGTCAAGTTTCGGACTTATGATCATTTATTTGTGAAAATGTCCCTTCAGAAGGGTATTCCCATTCGGTATTTCGTAAGCAGGCCATGGTTGCTATTTGACAGTAACGTTGAGATATTTTCCTAATAGTATTGACATTTTTGTCACTTCAAAAGTTTCAAATACCTCCAAAATGATGGAAAAAACATTCAAACTAAGTTCTTACGAATTTGTCCTTTATTTTTGGCTAGTGCAATACTATTATCAACTGAACCTGTAGAAAGTTCAAGGAAAGTTATCCGAATCTACCGCTAATGAAACTCAAGAAATTTATACGAGTTCAGAAATATTTATTTCATATAAACAATTAAACATGCATACATTTGTCGAGATGGTGATATACATCACATAAAATGAATAAAACAAAATGAAATAGTATAAAATACACTTCACATGATGAAAACACAAGTAGCAAGTTTCAATCATGTGGAATATTTCAAAATATATTCGAATCGCTGGCCGTTCACTTCCAAGCACTTTAAAATGCGGGTGTTGACTGCTTTCGACTGATTTCATTGGAATCCAAATCTTCAAATGTTTATGTGGAGAGAATTTACTGAAATATTTCAAATACGGAAATCATTATTAAAAATTTTCAATTTTCTTCATAGATTTCCTAAACTATATCGCATTATAGTTAATATAATGATTTATTTTCATATGTTAGAGAGCGGGACGGCAGCCGGTTCGGTTGTTGTGAGTGTTTTGTTCTACTCATTCAATCGACCGTCAGGTGAAAAGGTGGTTGGAGCCAACAGACCGGACGATTGATTTTCACTGCCTTTCGTCTAACTCGCATTACAAATCGCACGTTCAAAGGTGAGACTCCTTTAATCCTTATCTTGTACAAGATTCGAGTTTTGAGGATTGTCGCTTGTAGCCGTTAACGCTTAAACATATTTTACAGATATTTTCGCTTGAAGTATTATTGCTGTTCAATCAATTATATTTGAAGACTTTGAAAATGTATACATATAAAATGTATCAGATGGTGTAGAAGAAAGTCAAAAACTTTCTTTCCCAAAAAAATATACAAATAAGTTCTGACAAAGAAACGATAACCCAAGAGCAGATAGTACTTTCATGAATATTTGTTTCATATTGGTTTCATATTTTTGTGGTTTATTTTACCATAAGTACATGATTTTGGTTAGATGGTAACTGGCTATGAAATATATACATTTTTTGAAAATATGTTTTCATTTTTCGAAAATTTTCCTAAAACTTATGTTCACAAAACATGTACATGAGGGGTCATGAGGGGATGTCCACCCCTACATTGGAACATAGTTGTGAATACCCTGATTAATCACCTCAACAACAATAGATTCTAGAGAAATGCATATGCAGATGACATAGTTATTTTGCAGACCGGCAAGACACTGTGCGATAGAGCGCAGTAATCTAGTAGAAATGGATCAATTTAGGCTAAGTCTATGGCGAGAAGCGCTTACTGCGCACCCTCTGCTGCAGGCAGCCGGTGATGCAATTGAACCCTAGAAATACAAATAAAACAGACCACAGAGTCAGATGCTACAAATGCATTACGCATATACGCATATGTATACAGACAGCTCAAAAACCAAAGATGGCTCAGGATGTGGAGTTTACTCCAGATCACTATGCCTAAGGATTAAGTGGGGAATGGGACAAAATATCAGCGTGGTTCAAACAGAACTGGCTGGTTTCTCAATCGCCACAAAAGAAATAACCAGGAAAGGAATTTCTGGCAAAAACATAACAATCTGCAAGGATAGTAGATAAGCCCTATTATCCTTCAACAGACAACGTGTTACCTCAGCGTTAGTACTAGAGTGCCAACAAGATCTAGCCAAAGCCTCGGTAGATAATAACATTGTCCTGAGGTGGATTAAAGGGCACGATAGGAGTAAAAGTAATCGCATTGCCGACTCTTTAGTCAAGGAAGCAGCTGGACTAAGAATTTTAGGACTCAGTAAAACCTACGGCCTGATAACTTTGACAATTGCGGAACTAGCCAAAAGTTACAATCATGGAGTCGAAGGATGCAGTCCAGGATCACTCTGGGCGACCTTGGGAAGCTGGCGCCGGAGAAATATCTGGCGATGACCAGGAAAAACCTATGCTTAACAGTGGAATTTCTGACTGGCCACTGTCAACTAAGAAAACACCTCCACATCATGGGGCTAGTGGATACACCTCTATGCAGGATGTGTGAACNAACATTGTCAACCACCTTCAAACAAAGTCTTGACTTGGATGGGAGATCCATGCTTGTATTCCGATTCTGAGTTGACAAAGTTCCTTGAATATATTATATTGGATTTGCAACTTTTTCATAGTGTACCATTACAGTACTAGTCAAGCGCTGCTATTTGATACCCTTATTGAGGTAGTTGTGAAAAAATATGTAATCCGTATTTTGTAGCTGCGGCCATATTGGATTCACAATGATATAGAATTTAATAAATTGTGATCAAAACTGAATGGGGGTATCAAATTTCAGATCAATTTGTAAACAGGAAGGGGGTCAAACTTCAATTACTAAATGTGACCGATGCAAATAAATGAATAAACAAACAAACAAACAGGGCAAGGTAAAGTGATGTGAAAGTGATTCACATCACTTGCCTTGGTATGAATCGACTAGGATATAATAAACATTTTTAGTGGCATGAAATTCCACCATACTTAGTGGAAAACAACCTGACGACCATATATGATTTTAAATCCGAAAATTGAAATAACATAAACGATGATTGACTAGTTTTTTATTCGATCATTCAATAAACGAATAATTGATTTTGTATACATATAACGTAATATAAACAGAAGTAAAATAAACGAAGTACAGACAATGGAGGCCTTGGGCAAGTCTTCGACATCTTTAGCGGTATTCTTGGCAGACTCTCTATATAGGCCGTGGTATTCATTACATAGTATAAAACAGAGTCGCTTCTCGTTGTCTTTCACTATGTATGTTTAGATCTTTAAAACAAATTTTGATTCGAGTTTTTTAATAGATACAGTGATTTAAGAGAAAGGTTTATATGTCATTGTATATATAACATGCATAATATACTAGAAGTTTCTAATGAAATGTGAATAAACACCTTTTTGCGCTTACATTGCAAACGCGCTGGCCAAACACTACG